TAACTCTCTCCTGTTAATGTTTTTATATTATTCCCATGTTATTACTGTTTTAATCCCTTTTATATCAGAATTGTACTGTTTTACTGGCTCCTGCCGCAATAAATTTGATTGATTGATTGATAGATTGACTGCAGCTTCTGCTTTTCAGTTCTGAGATCTGTAAGTGACTCAGGGTCACTGTCTCAGAACAGCGAGGGGGAAACGTGGGTGGGAGGGCGTTCTGAATAAGTGACTAAATAAGCACATGGAAGTAGTAAGGGAGGGAATTAAGGGAAGCTTCTTGCAGGCTTGCAATTACCCACATAAGAAGAGCCTGCTGATCCATTTAGTCCGGCATACTGTTTTACACAGCAACTAACCAGTTGCTCTGGAGGGCCAAACAAACAGGGCATAGAGGCAGAGGCCCTCCCCTGCTGCCGCCACCGCCTTCCAGCACCTGGTATCCAGATGTTTGCTGCCTCTGTAGATGGAGGCTCCCTTCAGTCACCATGGCTGGTAGCCATTGATTGACCCTCTCCTCCACAAATCCAACTCCCTTTTAAAGCCATCTTTGCTCACGGCCGTCACTACTTCCACTGGCAGTGAATTCCACTGTTTAATTACTTGTTGAGTAAAGCATTTCCTTTCATCTGTCCTGAATATGTTTCCCAATAATTTCTTTGGGTGCCCCTGATTATTATGGGAGAGGGAGAAAAAGTTCCCTCTATCTGCTTTCTCCACCCCATGCATATTTTTTTAAACCTTGATCATGTCTCCCTTTAGCTGCCTTTTTTGTTGACTCTCCAGCTTTTCCTCATGGGAAGGTGCTCCAACCCCTTAGTCATCTGGGTTGCCCTCCATTCTACTTCTTCCACCTCTGTAATATCCTTTTTAAGATACAGTGGCCAGAACTGCACACAAATGAGGATTCACTATAGCTTAATACTACGCTGGTCTTGGTGAGCTCCACTGTTGCAGGGATAGATTCCAGATGTTCGTCTGTAGCAATAAAATAAAATAGGAATCCAGGGACACTTCAAAGACTAACAAAATTTGCTCCAGCCTAAGGGCTGTCTTGCTCCTCAAAGAGCTACTGGCGAAGAGCCCAAAAACCCAGCATTCCACCCTGCTTAATATAGGGTTGCTTCCTGGTGACTGAGTACCATTCTCCATGTGCTGTGGTAGTTGAGCATCAGAGAGGCTCACTTTCTTTTGCAATGTGACAGCGACCCAAACAAAGTGAATAGGAATAGCCATCTTGTTCTCTTGCTTAATTTGTAGCAATAAAATTTTCCTGTTTCAGAGAGCCGACTGTGATTCAGATTCCTCCTTGCATGTCTTAGAGACTTGCTTATGCTCAAACATGCACGCACAGGGGAAGGGATGAAGCAGTTGGGGAACTCTGCCCTTTATACTTGCTCAGAGGCTGACTTTACTAGTATTCCAAGTAATTAGTCCTGTGGGAGGCTGGATTTTAACTTGAGGTGGGGGCATGAAGAAGAGGAACACGCTTTACATGCACATGAACAAGCTGCACGCATGTAAACACAGACCTAGGGAGGGTTTATGACATGATGTTATGTATTGAAAGTACCATTCCTAGAATAGGGGAAGGTAAGATCTCCTATTTCATTGCACTGGATCATTGTCACTCTGAGTTCTTTTACTCTGCACATTAAGGAAACTTGAATGACACATGGCAAATCCAAATGGAGCAGGTTATACTTGTTAAGAGGATTTGTACATCTCACTTATTTCCTGTTTTCCCCTAGGGACGCTGGCATGTATTTTAAATGCATTAATTTTATCAGATTCCCCCCCCCCCAAGACCGTCTTATTTTTGTTGACCTCTTAATGTTGTTATTTCTCTTTTTTTACACTGAAGTTGATTTCTGTTCCTTTTCTTTTTTTTATAATTTATAATTTTTTATTCTTTATAAACAAACAAACAACACAACACAACAATTTTAACCTTATGTCAGTAAATATAACAATATATAACTTTAGGAGAGCATATTAATACAAGAAGAAATAAATATATCTTTTGAATTATTACAGTGTTAAAAAAACAAAATTTCTGTTCCTTTTCTGAAGCCACCTATTTCTGTGCATCAAATGCAGCTGTCAGCTCACTTTATATGGAAATTTTCTTCTTTGAAAACCTGGCTCAGATTTTTTGCTAGGCTTCTAATGCTGCATTTGTTGTTTCCACAAATTCCTCTCCAAACTTTTATAGAGAACTCATCAGTTTTTGGAGGTCATTGGCTCAAGTACAGGGCGCCATGGAAACATCACTCCTCTTGTATCTAGGAAATGGGTGAGAGATATTTTATTCCTGGTGAAAGGGAGGTATCTTTTTTTTTTTGCAAGCAGTCACAAATCAAAGTTGCCTTCCTTCAGCGTGTTAGCTGAGTTGATTTAGGATCTCATCTTCTCTTTTTCATTCCTTCTGTAAACTGCTTGCATAAGACTTTACCTGTAGTCATTCCTCCCTGATTTATTTCTTTGCTCACCACTGCCGACAGATGTGGAGTGAGGAAAGGGCTCCCTGGAATTGGTTGCTGTCTCTGATTGAGAGTTTTAAGGATCTTCAGGAGCCAGTGCATCCTCTCTAGGTCCTTTCTCCTTGGCTTGGTCCTTGTACAATGGGACGGGTGCGCAGACTCCTTCCCTCTTGTTATTTCTTAGGCAATCGTAATTTGTCATTGCGTGCGAAGCTAAGGCTTGTGTAAACTGTAGGTTGTCTACAGTTGCAGCACTCACTTTGAGTATGGGTTACGATTCTGGTTTCCAGGCAGACTTTGCTCTGGAAGGCATAGTGTAGTTTGCCCAGTTCACGTACAATTTAAAACTGTCATTTAAAGAAGGGTGGGGGGAGCATTCAGGCTCGTTACATGTTCCCAGTCTTCCAAACTGTGGAGGATTGCTTGGTCTACTGGCAGTCTTTTTCTTTTCTTCGTATATCAGGGTCTGAATGTTTTTTTAATTGTTTCATTAAAGTAATTTTTATAGCCCCGTAGAGATTGTCCTCCTTGGTTTTTCCCTCTCCTCAGATTGCCCAGCCCATTGCCAGTCCAAATAACATGCCGCCGTGCAGTCATTCCAAAACGATGTCTGATGCTCCCAGTGGCTGTAGCCCAGCTGCTGTGGGTCTCCCATGGCCATGAGCTACCTTACTTTGGAATCTCCTTTCTCATCGGCCTGTCCTGCAGACCACCAGAGATTTGGGTAGGAGGGAGAAGAGGAATAACGAGAGCACAGGTCAACACTGCTCTGCTTCCCCCCTACACTGGTGTCATCAATAATAGTCATCGTTTAGAGCAGGAA